CCGAGAAGGAGCCAGCTCCTGCCCCCGCTCAGGCACTAGCTCCCGGCCAGCAGCGGGGCCAGAGCCTCGGCCCCAGCACCGGCCCTGGCACAGACCCAGCTCCAGCATCGCCTCCGGCGCCAGCTTCGGAGGCCAGCGAGGCCAGCTCCAGCCCCAGCCCCAGCTGCAGAGCCGGCTCTAGGGCCAGCGACAGACGACCGCCGCCTCCAGCTCAAACGTCTGAACCCGCGCCAGAGTCAGAGCAAGCCCTGGCTTTAGCTCAGTGCTAAGAACATTTCCATCTTAGTCGCCGGTTACGACATCAGTTTGGGCACCACTGCCAGAGTTATAGTCTATCCTGTGACCCTCGCTGTCCCCAGATAGCCTACCCACCTGGCCTCATGTCCTGTGGTCCCCTAGCTGGGGTACGGGTAGTCCCGGGGCTCAGTGGACGTGGGTGGGGGTCACAGCCCTTGACGAAAATGGGAGACAGGGAGGACTGGCCCCTCAGGGAGCCGTTGGCCTTGCGGGATGGAGTCAGGGCCCGCAGTGCATATGAGGCCCGCCTGCCCTGTGGGAGGGAGGCAGGCGCACCGCCCACAGCGCGAACAGCCACGCCCACCGCGGGGTAGGGGTGGCGGCCGCCGCCACTCCGAGCTGCTGTAACCCTCACTGGACAGTCAGGAAACTGAGTCCTGGAGAGGCGCCGATTGGCCCAAAGCCCACGAGGTGGGCAGGGCCCAAGGGAGCCAGGACGGTTCCAGCGTCCTAGGTGGGGCTCACCTCCCTATGAGGCTTCCTTTGAGATTGAGAGCCCCTGAGATGGTGGGGGGACCACTGCCCAGCCCCTGCCTGCGGGGCTTGTGGCCCTGGGCTCCCCTGGGGCAGACACAGGCGCGCATGTACACACACACACACACACACACACGTACGCACGCACGCACCCCCCGCCCAGGGGTCAGGAGCCGAGAGCACACTGCGCAGGCAGCTCCGCGTGGGGCAGGGGCATCCAGTCCCCTGGGAACATGCCCGGGCCCGAGCACGAGGAGGGGAGAGAGGCCAGGCTGATGGCAGGGTGTCCGCAAAGGGGCCCAGGGCAGGAGCCATCCCCAGGGCCGCCTGGAGAGGACAGAGTCTGGAGTCCGGCATCCTTCCTCAGCACCTGGCACCAGGCGGAGACTCCCCGCCCCCAGTGTGGGCGGGGCTACAGGCGAGAAAGCCTCAGCCTCTTCCGCTATAAACCGGGTGCGTAGATGGTGTGACACTGAAAATTCCACAGGCTCCTAGACGAGTCTGTGTACTCGGTTCTGCACCCACGACCCCCGGTGCTCCACGTTCAGGGAGAATGCTTTCTATTCCCTCGGGGTCCTTCTGAGCAGAGGGCAGCCTGGGGCTTGGGGGTCTTTGGACCTGGGCAGTGCAGAATGTGGCAGAGCACCGGCCACTCGTCTGGGGACAAGGCCATCCTCGTTGGAGCCTTGGGTCCTCATCTGGAAGCGAGTTCGCGTTATGGCCCTGGCTGGGCTGAGGAGGCTTCGTGAATGAACCGGACGCCAGGACAGCGGAGGGAAAGGGGGCTGCGGGGGAGGCTTCAGAGGTCCTCACATCCCCCGGAGCCGGCAGGTCCCGCCCCTTTGCCCCTCGGGCTCAGGGCGAGCTGCTGCCTTGACGACATCCAAACAAAGGTGTGTGTTTTGTTTTCTGGATCTCGTGCCTGGGGCTGCAGTGCTGGGGCCGACCACCAGGGGGAGAGCTGTGCCCACTCTGCTCAGTGGAGCAACCGGAGCAGAAGAGGGAAACCGGGGGTCATTCTGGGCATCCCCCTGCCTCCGACCCACCGCGCACCTTCTGTTATTAACCTCCATGTCCACCGTGTGAGAAGCTCAGAGGCAGCAGGGGCCCCGAGACCCTCTCACCACTCATT